ACACATGTCATTTGTCTAATGAAACATAATCATATTAGTTAACCAAGCATAAAAGAAATCATTTAATTCATTAAAATTAAAATTTGGTGCATACATGCGATTTATACATATCTGCAATTGCCTGCATGCTTTCAACAGTGGATTGGAGGGCTTTAGTAAGACTAAGACAAGCTATGTAAACATATTGGAACATTAGTAATTGTATTTAAAAAAAATTGATGTTATATTAAAATTTTTGAATTTACAATTCTCACCTTTACATCCATCTCTCCAGCACCATGCACCTTCTTCATTTACAGAATCATTATTTTCACCAGTATCATGGCCTGTAATGAGCCGGAGTAATGCGTAGCTAACTCTACGGTATTGATGTTGTATTTCTATAATTTTTAACTAAATTTAGAAAAAAATATTCAAATGATGAAGGTACATGAAAAAATCTATTAAGATGAATATACACCTTCTAATGAGTCTTTATGGGCTTGTGATGCTTCATTAATCCATGGCATCAACTTTTCCATAGCTCGGGCATGTGCTTCAAATCGTTCTATGGTATCGATTTCTCTATGATCGATGATGAGGAAATAATGAGTAAGATAAAAATAATACAATTGATACGAAATTTTTACATTGCATTTTATTATTCATACCCATCATCTACATTAAACTCTGGGTGGTAAACATGTTGAAAAAATGTTTGTCCAACAATTTTATCATTTTCAAATTGTTTTTCTCGTTTGCGCCATTCCTAATTTTTTTTTATAAAAATCAAATACAAGATAAAAAATCATATAGTATGTATATGCGACATACCGTGTCATCATTACAACTAAGAAAATGAGTCAAAATTTCAGAGTATCGAATTATTGGATGACGGGCCAATCGATTGATAAATCTTTCCAAAGCACGGCGACGCTTTTCTATAAATTCTTCATTAAAGCGTCCTAAGTTTAAAAAATTTAAGTGCATATTTAAAAATTGATCGATATTAATAAATGTAATGATATAATCTATGGTATTTAAATCGTACCAGAATATTGTTTTTCTGGAAGAGGAGGCAACACAAATGCGCCAAATTTATTCACTAAACGGTTATATAACCACTCAAATT